TGGGCGGGTGGGGGGAGGGAGAGGAATGATGGAGAGGGTCCATGAATGAACTGTTCTATGATTGCAAAACCCCATCAGTGTATCCAGTTTTGCACATTTTTTTTGAAATAAATGTCTCCTGGAAAAAAAACCCAAGCCTCTTCAAGCCAGTTGGCTATTTTAGCAATTTGCAGGTTAGCAAGCACTGGGGGCTCTGCTTGGACTGACCTGGGGAGCCTTCTGCTACTGTTCTTTCAAGACTCAGATAGCCAGCAATTTGCTGTTGAAATGTGGAACTGGGGCATAACATGGAGGTGGAAGCAAACTAAAGTCAGGTGCACACGGTTCCAGGGACTTCGCTTTCCACTTCCCAATATCTCTCTTCTTTTTCATACTGTCTGCTAGGAGGAAATTTGGGTGTTTTGTTTCTGATTCTGAGAAACCATGGAGAATGCTATATCACCAAAGCTAGTCAGGTGCTAGGTAAAGCAGACCACCAGCATGCCGCTGACTGGAGTCACTGGGTTTCAAGGGGAGCGAGTCTTGTTGAAACTGCAAGTATGAGGCACTGGTATGACTACAAACTAATGCCATCTGTATTCTGGGGGTGGGAATTGGGGCTTTTGTACTCTGTGGGTTAAGTCGTTCTTCCAGTGTGAAATGGACCAAGCTACTCCTTGTTTTGATGAGTACATGTGATGTTTTTAGGTCTGCGCTCAGCATACAACCCTGAACATCTGTTTCCTGTATAAAGTCTGCAACTTAATACAGTGAGTAGGAGCCTGGCTAGCAGATGGGGGGCTATTTATGTCTGGCTCCAAGGTAACTGATCTGTAGACATCTTGTAAAAAGAAACAGGAGGGGTCCTCTTCTAAAATCGTATTTTCATGTGCCGAAAAATATGGGACTGGGTGGATTTTTTTTAGACTGTTTGGGCTGTGGTTCAGAGGAACCTCTCTGCCTGGACTGTCTGCTCTGGCTTGCTGCTTGCTGATGCTGAGGAGCGGGATGTTGCACAGATCTGCTTCCCAGGGAATCTGCTGCTTTTGGGCTTGATGCCTTAGCTTGGGCGGAATGGCAGGTCTTGCTGTCTGAGTGTGGCTGCATCTGCTCTTGCACATGACACCAGAGGGCGCAGTGATCTTTCTCCTTTGGAAACTTGAGCTTGAACTCATCCTGGGCTTACAGACATGGGAGTGAGGTGTCAGGTTCAGCCCTCAGTTGGTAATGGTCCATAACACAGCAACACAGCTTGGATTTAAAATAAAGTTAATTTATTTTCTCCAGCCAGGCTTCTGGATGTAATTGTGACATCTAGCTCACAGACAAATGGAGATGGGCTTAAGCATGGACAGTGCTTAGGCATAAACCTATAAACACTTACAGAGTAAACTGGCTTTTTTCCCCTTTGAGTTTGCCCACCTGAACTTTTGGGATGAGAACAGAGGATTGAACCTTCTTTATGTCAGTGTTGCATTGGACTAGCTGACCTCTCGAGGTCTCTTCCAGCCCTACATCCATCTCTATGGTTGTGGTAGGAAGTTACCTGGCCTAGGATCTCAACATGATTATTATTAGAAACATGCTGGCTATAGTGCTACATCATGTGCATTAAGTAAGGCAGCCTTTCCATATTGCACATCAGTGAACATAAATACCAAAGTCTACTCCAGCCTCACACATTATTCTCCCATGACGATTTTAATTTGGTAAAATTTCTTGCCATAAGAATTTTACAAAAGCAAATGACCATCTGTAGAAAGACAATACTTGAACCGTGGCTTTTAGCAATGGTTAGTGAAGTTGGTTTTACAGATAGTGGGTTGTGCTCTGCCTTCGCTTGGTAGCTGCTTCTCCTGTATCCTGATCCTAGTAGCTGGGCAGCCTATTGCTTGCTTCTTCTAAAGGAGGGGTGGTCAAAACACCCATGTGCTGTTCTGCATGTACTGACCGAAATCTTTGCTTGCTGTAGCAGCGTGTGGAGTATAGGATGTCCCTTCTCCCCTGCTAGTATCATAACATTTAAGACATTGGGTGCCTCTTTTATGGGACACCTCTTAGTACCTGGGGGCTCCAACAATTAAAAAATCCTGCACTGCATTTGAAACTAGAAGGATGTGACACCCAGCAATTGAAGTAAAGAGCAGATCTCTGTAGGGGTAGGCTTGCTCTATGGGATTTTTAAACAAGTGGTTTAGTCAGTAAAGCAGCAGTGATGTAAGAGCTCTTTCAACTGGCTTGAGGGGTAGGAAATCAACTTACAAAGAGTGTCACATGCTAAGAACATGACATCAGAACTGCCATTGACTGGGTCAGCCCCTAGGTCTGTCTTGCCCAATCTCCTGTGTCACAGTGGCAGAAAGCAGATGCTGAGAGGGAAAGTGAACAGGATTGGACCAGGGTTTTTCCACTATTCCTCTCTCACTTGCAGCCTCCAGCAGTTAGTCAGGAAAACAGCTGAAGCCCAAGTCTGGCGACACTTCCCCTCCCCGGGTATCACTGATGATACCCATGTGCCTGGCTGGTGTACAGCCAGCTGCCAACCACCCACCCCTTGTCTTCTCTTAAGAGCCATCTGCGCTTTCCTTGAACATGTGATCTCAGTGGTCAGGAAGCCTTTGCTTGCTTCTTTCCAGACATTCCTCCACTCCCACCCTCCCTGCCTTATCACCTCCCCTCACCATCCCAACTGCAACAGCATCTGTGCACTGAAGATGAAGCACCACTTGCCAAAGCTGGTGTCATGCATTTCAGCAGAACAAAAACAGGGGCAACCCAACCTGAAGACAACTGGCTCTCCTGACATTTTTCATGGAGTGGGAAAGAGGACAGTGTCTTTACTCCTTTCAGGGCACAGATGGATGGGGAAGCTTGCTGGACTCCCTTTGTTCCCTTGGTGAGAACTTTGCTGGTCACATTTACATCTAGTCTCCCTAGATGTCATACCCTTGTAAAGATGGGAAGTAAGAATTCAGAAACAGCCCTAGGCCCATGTTTGCTGGGATCTTTAGGACATGGATGATCAAGTGAGGCCACTAGCTTAGCTTTCCCAGAGTGCTTGGGTAAGAACATCCATCTCCTCTCCTACTCTGTTAAGGAACACCTCTACCAGCATGGTAAGCTAAGGGATGCCCAAATCTAGCAGGTAAAGCATGTGCGCAGCAAGGGAGGGAAGAGGAGTACATTACAGTTCCTCGGTCTCTGGTAAAGTCTGTACCCAGCCACGTGGGGCTCTGTTGAAGCTGGGTCTGCTGGAAAGCAGCTGCAAGCTATTCAAGGTGTCCATTGTGGCATCCATCTCAAAGCTGGACGATGGGAACAGGTCATTGATGAGTGGCCCACCAAATGGAGTGGGAGTCCTGCAGCAGAAAGGAGGAGCATTTAGTGTCTGCTTGGGCAGGTGCAGTGGCAAGCACCCTATGCCAGATCCTCATGCCTCCAGAAATCTGGCAAGACCCAGGGACTGCCAAGCTGCATCTAAGCAGCCACAGGTGCCACCGCAATCCCTGCTTATTCTTTCTGTTCCTGTCACCTGTTGCAGTATCACTCTCACTCAAGCTCTTGAAACCCTAAATCAGTTCTCTTTCTGAGTCAGTGGCATTGGTTGGGTGGCAGCCTGTCACTTTGTTAGCACTGCAAGTGCATTAAGAAATGAGGGGAGAGAGACCCTAGCTCTATCTCATCTGCAAAGGATGCTAGGGTGGGAGAAATCACCCTCTGACCTTTCTTGGCAATGGTGTGAAGCCTGTTCTGCACCACTAACGTATCCTGACAAGGGGCTAGCATCATTTCAGCACCCCTGGATCATGCAGGCTTAAGGGCAGGAGGTTTGAGATACATCAGCTTGGTTTCTTTCCAGGCCCTTTAGGCAATGGGACGCTGTCCCGCAGTGAGAAATAGGTGGCAGTTGTAGCTCTAAGCCCTGCTTCTCCCCCTGAGGGAAAGGCAGATGAGTGAATTAGGGATAAGCCAGCCTGCCTGAACTGAGATGCCAGAGCGGTCACAAACTTTCTGCTGTTTGTGGAAGGGTTCATCTTGCTCCCACTGGGATCTCTGGCTTCTTGCTGGCCAGTTTCATCCCACAGACTGGATCCTTTTGCTCAGTTTGATTTATTCTGGAGTGAGGTGATGTGTTTGGGGTGGGGTTGTGATCAACTGAATAGTCATTTTGAACAGTGATTCAGCTCGGTGGATCACGTCATCTCTACCCTGTTTAATTAAATCCAATCACTGCCCTTTCGGTTTCCTGGTGCTTCAGGCCTCTAAGGAATTAATGGGGTGGTGGGGAGGCAAGAAGCCGGGCATTACTTCAGCATCTCACTGTGTTAAATATCAGATCAAGGCTTTAAATAGCAAGGCAGCCTGTTGCAGAGGGGACGGGCACAGGGTGAAACTGGGCAGCCTCCCCTGCCAAGTTCTGGCCATAAATAAATGCTGGGCTGGGGAGGGGGAAACTTGAGCTGCTGTCAAAACCAAAGAGCAAGCACCTGCATAGCTCACACCCCCATGGTGGCAGTGCCCAGGGCAGGGAGCCTGGGGGGGATTATAGACCCTCGATGGAAGGGGCATGATGTTGGAGGAAGGAGCCTCCCCCCTCTTTCACCCTTAGCTTCTGGCAGCCAGCATCAGCTCATCTTCCCATTGCACTCCCTACTGTCCTCATCACTTTGCCCAGTCTTGCTTGCCCCTCCTCTGTCCAGCTTTGGTGCCTGCCCTGTGTTCTCAGAGCTGTGGGTCCAGTCTGCAGCCCCAGGCTTTCCTCAGCACCCTGCCCTCCAAGCCCTTGCACCCACAATTCTCATATTTCTCCCACCCTGCTGTGTGAGCTGTAAGGCAGGACAGTGAATGGTTAAGCCATTGGAAGTGGCCCCCAGAGCTGGAATTGCTGGCCTGGCAGATGCCCGAGAGCCCAGCCATTGGGGTGGAGCAGTTGGGGACCAGGCAACCTGTTAGCACCATGCAAAAGGATTAGCCTGGTACCCTGGGTGCTTCCTGCAGCTGTCAGATGCCTTGGAGAGACAAGAAAGGAGGCTTGGCACTGTCACTAGCCCACAGCCAGGCAGCCTCCCTGCAACTTCAGGGCCCAGAGCCAGTTAAGTAGGGCAGACACCTGGTGCCTCCTTGCCCCCATGCTCCTCTTACTCCCTCTGGAGAGGGCCTCTTTCTCTGGGCTGCGCCCTCAGTGCTGCTCTGAGCTGCTGATTCCCCGAACCCTGCCCCTGACATTGGAGCAAGGGAGTAGGGCTCGTTCTGTTGCTGGGAGGCCATGTAAATACCTAACACATGCAGAACCTAGGCTGCTGTGTGCCTGGAATGGGGGACCCCCTTCTCCAGAGATGGGCTTACAGCCTGGGGATGGCCTTGGAGGGCACCAGAGACCTCCTGGCTTCACAGAAGCATCTTCCCTCAGTCGTCTGAATCTGCCTTTGATTTCATAGTTTCTAGGGTCGGAAGGGACCTGAGTAGATCA